TTGGATGGAGGCACCTTTTTCCCTGGATCTTTTCCCTGGGGATGGCGCCTCCGGGGATGAATCCATGTGGGAAGGGTCTCTCCCGGAGGAGGGATCCATCCCCGCTCCCATTCCCGTTCCCATTCCCAGTTTAGGGGCCGTGTCCGAGGTGTCGGCGGCCGGAGTGATCGGCACCGGGACCCACAACACCGGCATCAAACACGGCATCCTGCCCACCCAGGTGAGATCCCGGGGAATTCCCGGCATTCCAGGGAATCCCCAGCATCCCAGGGAACCCCCAGCGTTCCGGGGAATCCCCAGTATCCCAGGGAACCCCCAGTATTCCAGGGAACCCCCAGTATTCCAGGGAATCCCAACATCCCAGGGAACCCCCAGTATTCCAGGGAATCCCCAGTATCTGAAGGAATCCTCAGTATTCCAGGGAATCCCCAGCATTCCAGGGAACCTCCAGTATTCCAAGGAATCCTTAGCATTCCAGGGAACCCCCAGTATTCCAGGGAATCCCCAGTATCCCAAGGAATCCTCAGTATTCCAGGGAACCCCCAGTATTCCAGGGAATCCCAACATCCCAGGGAACCCCCAGCATTCCAGGGAATCCCCAGTATCCCAAGGAATCCTCAGTATTCCAGGGAATCTCCGGCATCCCAGGGAACCTCCAGCATTCCAGGGAATCCCCGGCATCCCAGGGAACCCCCAGTATTCCAGGGAATCCCCAGTATTCCAGGGAACCCCCAGCATTCCAGGGAATCCTCAGCATTCCAGGGAACCCCCAGCATTCCAGGGAATCCCCAGCATCCCAAGAAATCTCCAGCATTCCAGGGAATCCCCGGCATTCCAGGGAACCCCCAGCATTCCAGGGAATCCCCAGCATCCCAAGGAATCTCCAGCATTCCAGGGAACCCCCAGCATTCCAGGGAATTGTGGCCGGGGTTGGGAATTCCCAACCGCTCCTGGCTCAGATTCCAATCCTGGATCCTGTGGAAAAGGGAAGCTCTGCTGGCCCCGCCCCTGGATCCCTGGGAAGTGTCCAAGAAAAGGCAGGATGGGGCTTGGAAAAACCTGGGACAGTGGGAATGGGATGGGATTTAAAATTTCTTCCATCCCAAACTGGGCTGGGATCCTGGGATTTCATGGAGCTGGGATGGCTCCGGGCTGGGCTCGGAGCTGGAGAAGGGGCTGCATCCCAAGGAATGGGGGAACTTGGGAAAAGGTGGGTCCAGGTAGGGAATGAGCCCTGGAATCCCAGGGAATAGGGAAAAGGCAGGAAATGCAGCATCCCAAGGAATGGGGGAACTTGGGAAGAAGTGGGTCCAGGCAGGGAATGAGCCTTGGAATCCCAGGGAAAAGCAAGGAATGCTGATCCCAAGGAATGTGGGAAAGTGGGAAAAGGTTGGTCCAGGCAGGAAATGAGCCCTGGAATTCCAGGGGAAAGCGAGGAATGCTGCATCCTGAGGAATGCTGCATCCCATGGAATGTGGGAGCTNGAGCTTGGGAAAAGGTTTCTCCAGGCAGGGAATGAGCCCTGGAATCCCAGGGAAAAGCAGGGAATGCTGCATCCCAAGGAATGTGAGAACTTGGGAAAAGGTGTCTCCAGGCAGGGAATGAGCCCTGGAATGCCAGGGAAAAGCAGGGAGATGCTGCATTCCAAGGAATCCCAGGAACAGGGTTGGGAAAAACTCAGGAAAAGGTTGGTCCAGGCAGGGAATGAGCCCTGGAATCCCAGGGAAAAGCAGGGAATGCTGCATCCCAAGGAATGTGAGAACATGGGAAAAGGTGGCTGCAGGCAGGGAATGAACCTTGGGATCACAGGGAAAAGGGAGGGAGATGCTGCATCCCAAGGATCCATTCCCAAGGAATATGGGAGAAGGGTTGGGAAAAGCTCGGGAAAAGGTGGCTGTGAGCAGGGAATGAGCCTTGGAATCCCAGGGAAGAGGGAAAAGGCATCCCAAGGAATGTGGGAAGTTGGGAAAACATGGCTGCAGGCAGGGAATGAGCCCTGGAATGCCAAGGAAGAGGGAAAAGGCATCCCAAGGAATGTGGGAGCTTGGGAAAAGGTGTCTCCAGGCAGGGAATGAGCCCTGGAATGCCAGGGAAAAGCAGGGAATGCTACATCCCAAGGAATCCTAGGAGCAGTGTTGGGAAAAGCTCAGGAAAAGGTTGGTCCAGGCAGGGAATGAGCCCTGGAATGCCAGGGAAAAGCAGGGAATGCTGCATCCCAAGAAATGCGGGAACGTGGGAAAAGGTGTCTCCAGGCAGGGAACGAGCCCTGGAATTCCAGGGAAAAGCAGGGACATGCTGCATCCCAAGGAATCCCTGGGCCAAGGGTTGGGAAAAGGTGTCTCCAGGCAGGGAATGAGCCCTGGAATGCCAGGATGGAGCCGCTGCATCCCCAGGAATTCCCTCCCCCGTGTCCAGGTCGTGGCCCTCACCCTCCTGTTGGCCTCGGGAGAGATCCTGGAATGCTCGGAGGCGGCCAATCCCGAGGTTTTCCAGGCGGCCCGGCTGCACTTGGGATGCCTGGGAATCGTCCTGAGCGTCACCTTCCAGTGCGTCCCGGAATTCCGGCTGCGCGAGGTGGCCTTTCCGGCCACCCTGCCCCAGGTACGGCCGGGAATTCCCCGGGAATGAGGCCGGGATGAGGCGGGAAAATCCCGTGGGATCCTTCCTGGGAGTCGTCGTTCCCAGAGGGATTTCAGATCCCTGTGGATGTGGCCCTTGGGGACACGGATCAGGGGTGGCCTTGGAAGTGCTGGGAATGGTTGGATTCCATGATATCCAAGGGATTTTCCAACCTGAACCATCCCTAAGGATTCTGTCACTGTCCCAGCTCCCCACAATTCCCGGGAAGGAAGTTCCAGGAGGTCCCCAATTCCCAGGGAACGAGGGACGGGAGGAGAGGGAACAACCTCCAACATCCCTCCAGGCTCAGCTGGGATGTTGGGAACAATTCCCACATGGAAAGGGCTGTCAGGCCCTGGAATG